TAACATGCGATTAGTATTCCCGATCTCCCCCAGCTGATGACCCTCCCAGTAATGGATCGCACTATACTCGTATACTTACACCTCTTTCAGCTAATCTCTGGTGCTACGAGTATTTGCGCACTCCGAGCGGGGAGATTGCAGTCTCTTCGCATTTCAGCCGCCATTCCATTGCGAATTAACGTCACCATGGCAACGACGACGGCAACGACATCGTAGAGGCTAAATAGTTTTATTTTTAACTAAACACATATACGAGCGTATATGTTTACTACTTTTTTGTACGACTATCTGCTGCTTGGCTTTGTGCCCGATTCTTTCTTTCGAGTGCTAATGACATTGTCATAGTGCAAAGCAAATGGACAGCTGTGCACGCTTCTCGCTGCCTTCACGTGAGTGGGTGGGTCGAGCAGTTCACCTGGGCTGCTTCAGGTGGGGTTAGGCATCTTCTCTGCGGCTGATAAGTTGCACACCAGTTCTCGAGTGCTCATCAGTCAAATAAACAAGTTATGTAGAGTTGGTAGTTCAGTGGAGCTAAAAATATCTAACTTGTATGCACTCCATCTTTATCAATAATACGTAAGGTTCTAAGCACATGTCATATATTTTGATTTCATTGCTCAGCTTTCATGTCATACTCGTACTTAAAAAAAAAAAAAATAATGCTCGTTGAAGTACAGCAGCTTTCATAGTTTTAGAATGATAACAGATATATTTATAATTCAGCTTTCTGCCCAGCAGTTGTTTGCCAAAGTTTCGAAATTTTTGTATTTGCTTCCTGGGATTAATATCGAAATGCTTTCAGTCTCGACGAATCACTTAGGCTGGGGGTGCCAAGAATAGAACAGCGTTTGCCCCGGTAATGAACTTTGTTATGGGTCCGAAAGATAGAACTTAACGATCCCACCTTGGCGACAACAGGTCGTCGGCACTGCATTGGTGTGGGGATACCACTCGAATGTGTGCACACAGATTTTTCGTTGGCTTTCGGTTTTAATTGTCCAACATTTTCGCCGCCTGCCTTTGTTTGAAGTTCGCTGTTGCCGGGCGCCAAAATGGTGACGCGTTGCCAACAATTGAATGTATTTATTTGCCTTTTGGCTTCGGCGGTCTGCATATGAAATGCACACTTTGGCAGGCGGGAAAAATGCTTTCGAATGTTTCGTTTTTTACTCGTTCTTTCCCTTTCTTGCCTGCCGATGCGGTGCCAACGCTCCAAATTCACTGCCCACGGGAACCGGATTGCACACTCCTCCCCGGGTTTTCCCCCTTTTCCGGCACCCACGCACGTCAAATGAAATTATTTACAGTCTAGCCTCGAAAACCTGTGCTCTGCAAGAAATTTCACTTTTTGGTTAGGAAAAAGTTCATGTTGACTTGATCGCCTAAACTTTGTGTACTCATTACAAAATATAGCAATATAAAATTAGCATTACATATACAATGTCATCTAATCTGAAGCCTAATTCTTTCAAAACAAATTATCAAAAAAGAGTCATATTTTATTAAGTGCTGCGGGTTGTAGAGGTCATACTGTATCTTCGGGGGGCATCGGAATTTTTTGATTGTATTCACGTGCCGAGGTAAACCGTTTCAGTTCAAGTAAAACCCCCCGTAAGGTGGATTTCGGTTTCGAAATTTCTTGATAAGCTTGCTCGAGCAATAACGATAAACAACGAATGGCGATAAGACAGGGCCCAAATGCAATGCGGACGCGGTCAGTGACTATAATTGCGTTTTTATGCAATGCCACATATTTGGAATTTTTTATGTCGTGCCCAGAAAGCGACCAAAAAGATGAATGGACGAGCTTGGAAGCTCAGACTAGAAGCTTTTCACGCAGCTGCAAGAGAAACCCACGTTTCACAAAGGCGTCTGAAAATAATGAAATCCGTATACTTAGATTTAGTGTAGCTAGAAATACATACATCCACATCATACTGGTTTTGTTATCCAAAAACTACTTGGCTACTTTCCACAAGAGCAAAGTTCTGAATAGACCAAAGTGCACTATATGTTTAAATGAAAAAACCCCCTTGAAAAATTCCAACCTGCTCCTCTGGAAGCAGCAGACACTAGTTGTCCATCTGGTTTGCCGGCTTTGGAACGCAGCTGCAATAATAGAGAACATAATTGCACTTATTTTTAGACACCCACTGCAACTGCACTGCATCCGCTGTGGAAACTGCCCACATTCCACACCGATTTCCATATGCTTCAGCATGTTGCTCATTCGCCCGAGTCACCGCTTCGTGGGGCTTGTGGATGGGGGCTTGCCTTGGCGAATTTTTGGTAAACAACAGCATAAAATCATGCGTAATAAACTTACAGCTACGCGTTGCTACGTGCCGAAAGTCTCGCAGTTCCCCGGTGTCCCCGGTTTCCAGGTTCCACCGCCTTTTTCCAAGCATGTGACAGGGTGCACCGAAAGAAAATACTTACATGTATGTGTCTAGCAAATTATTGCCCAAGTACGTTAGAGCAAGCGTTAAAATACACTTAATTCAGGATAAGTGTTAAGCAAATGGAAAAATATACGAAGTTATTTGGGGGCAGCAGAATTTAATTGGTTATAAGACATATGCTGTAATGTGGGGTAACATAGTTTTCAGTGCTAGATTGTGGATGGTATTGGACCTCGTTCTTATGGCGCTTGTTGTTCGTCCGTCTCGCTCCCACAACCGACGGCCTTGTGGGCCACCTTGTTTGTTTTTTGTTATGCTGGAAAAAAACTCATTTATTAATAATAAATAAAGGCAGCTGACAAAAGAGTGCGATTGATAAACAAAGAGCGCCGCGCTGATCGATTCGCCTGGCAACCCGTTTTAACGGGACAACGCTCCATAAAACCAAGCAATACTATACTATTTATATACTATACTATATGAATCAGATACAAAAAAAGCACAATTGGAAACTGCAGCTGGGGTTTTATCTCCTTTCACATTGCGGAAGTCGACGAGGGGTGTCTCGAAAATATGACCCTCACACCCACGAGGCGGAAGTTTGCCGCAAACAGAAACAGAAACATTCGGGGAAACAATTAAAGCAAACAAATAATGCATTTACATGCATGCACCGTGTGCACTTCAAAATGAATGTTCTCTGTAAAGAAATGCAAATTATAGGAAAAAATAACTTAAACCTGTGAGGCAAGACTATTCTAGCTCTTGAATAGTTAATATACTTTTCTTATTTCCTAATGACTGTGGTTTTTTTTACCAGTAATACAAGTACTTGATTTTCTTATCAACACATATTTTCTAATTATAAGTTTCATCGAAACTGATATTGCCTTTGTGGCATTTGATTTTGTAGTTTTCCTGCACATTTATTTATGTAATTTTCCCATTTGCCGTGAAACATAGCAAAAAGAAAATCAATCAAAATCAGTGCTATAGGGGTTTCCTGCCTGCACTTTAAATTAGCATGCGAACAGGGCTTGTTTACAAACAAATAGTACGTGAAATTATAAGTATAAGGCAGTTCGCTGATAAGAGCACGTTATGAAACTGCTTTCAAGAAGAACAGCAGTTGGCCAGCGACTGATAAGAGGTGAGACAAAGAAGCAAAAAATGCCACAGTGCGATAAGCGAGGCGCCTTAAATCGTTAAATTCTTTTAACAAATGTATTTTGGTAGCATAGGCTAATCGTTAAGTGTTCGTAGAAAATCATTTTTAAATTGGCGCCCAGAAGTAGTATGATATCGATTGATTTTCAGGGCTACCTGCCACGAGAACAGATAAAGCTATCGATAGGCAGGTATTTACAGGGATTTTTTAGTGCTAAACTAGAGTGGTTTTTTCCGCGTCTTTTTCCACGGAAGCTGTTAATTAAATGAAGTTAATTTAATTGCACCAAGCAGTGGCTTTAATTAAAAAGGTTTTTCTAAAGGTAAATAGTACCTTTTACGAGTAATGCAGTTCTTAAAATGTGAAAATGATCAAGTGAAAAGCGTCAAATACCTTAGATTTGCCTATTTTGGCAATACCCGTTGTTGTTGTTGTGCTGCGGTAGCGCTGCTCAGATCGTCTTCTTGGCTGAAAATCAACCGGATTTGGCTAGAAAGCCGCCAAACGGACAGAGCTTTGAGCCAGAAGACACAGATTGATAATTTCTATATGTTTTTGCAGTGTTTCGCTCGCCGTGATCTGAAAAAGTCGTAGAGCAGGTGCAACAGGTGCCATTCGCAAGTGAAAGCCAGTTGAAAGCAACTAAAAAGAAAATCCCACAGAATGCCGCCCGTGCAGTAAGCAGAATGTTCCGTCCCACTTTCTCAACGTCCTTGGCTTCGAAACGCCCATCCATTGCATCATTTGTACCTCAAAATCATCGTTATCAATTCGCAAAAATTCGCATTTCGCTAACTACTACAAAATATAACTATTTAAGGCTAGCAGTGCCAATTATTCATCCCCTCATCCAGCGATAACCCTATGCCAGCGATGCGGGCGCTTTGGGCCCCAATTCAATGCAATTTTCCTGCCAGATGTTTACTCCATCGATGACGTCATGGCCACATTCAAATTTATTTTTAAACGCCGCCACTTGAGCGTGTGTGTGTGTGTGAGTGCATGTCAGTGTATTGTTTACTATTCGCTTGTGCGTGTGTGTTCGTCGGATTTGATTATGATGAGTGGGCCGCTTTTGTGTTGGCGGCAAACCCAATTCGAATGGATGCTAGAATTTTCAACCCATTTTGGAATGTTCATTGAGTCAACCAGTAATCGGCAGCGACTTCAATTCTCCGAATGATGAACACATTCGATGAATTTCAATTATAAAATCAGAATAAAAAAGCGATCTGATAGTTACTTATACTCATTTTTTAAATGGGGCTACTGCTGGTAATGATTAATTACCAAATATATTGATGATTGGTTAATGCGAATCTAATAATTTGTCGAATATAGTTTATATGTATATACATTATATACATGTTCCGAAACGATATCTTGCCAAGTCATCACATCTGTAGCGTATCACGCTTAATATACAACTGCCGTGCAATACCCGCTGTTTTGAAAGCTAAGCGTCCACGGCATGCCTGAAAGCTTATTGGCTGCACATTCGAAGGAAATATGATTCAGCCAGCGTCAACAAAGCCGGCAAGCGATAAGTCTCATTATTTTGTCCAGTTTCTCATTTCACGCCCTGCCCTAAAGTCGCTTTTCGTTGCGCTGAAGCTATAACCATGATGTACTCCAAGGCTGTAGTGTAATGGCCTCTGAAATGGTTAGTTTTTACCATCAACTAATCCTGATCTTCTCATGAATTCACAGAGTCCAGGCAGCGAACATGTCGCTGGGTGCAATGCATTGCACGCGATGCGCCGACGGCTTTGAGCCCACTGAGAAGATTGTCAACTCCAATGGAGAACTGTGGCACACACAGTGCTTTGTGTAAGTAAATCGACTTACTTGCTAACGCTTGCTAACTCACAATTTTCAGATGTGCCCAGTGCTTCCGACCCTTCCAGGATGGCATATTCTACGAGTTCGAGGGCCGCAAGTACTGTGAACGTGACTTTCACGTGCTCTTCGCTCCCTGCTGCAACAAATGTGGCGAGTTCGTCATCGGACGGGTCATTAAGGCCATGTCAGCTAGCTGGCATCCACAGTGCTTCCGCTGCCAATTGTGCGCCAAGGAGCTGGCTGATTGCGGGTTCATCAAAAACCAGAACCGCGCCTTGTGCCACGAGTGCAATGCCAAGGTGAAGGCGGAGATTACCGGCCGCTATGTATGCCAAAAATGCCAGTACGTTTCAATGGCTTTAGCTGAGAACATGTTGCTAATTAGCATTATTTTCAGCGGCCTCATCGACGAGGAGCCTTTGCGATTCCGAGGTGAAGTGTACCACGGCTATCACTTTAGTTGCACGGCCTGCGGCACCGAGTTGGATTCTACTGCTCGGGAGGTCAAGAGCCGGCCAGGACTGGCTGCTAACGATATGGTGGGTTTTTCTTCAAGAAAATTTAACAAAGTATTTATATATATAAAGCAAATGAATATTAAATTATTTCTTTACAGAACGAACTCTATTGTCTGCGTTGTCACGATAAAATGGGCATTCCCATATGTGGCGCCTGTCGTCGGCCAATTGAGGAGCGGGTGGTAACGGCGCTCGGAAAGCACTGGCATGTGGAGCATTTCGTTTGCGCCAAGTGCGAGAAGCCCTTCCTGGGTCACCGCCACTACGAGAAGCGGGGACTGGCCTACTGTGAGACGCACTATCATCAGCTCTTTGGCAACCTGTGCTTCGTCTGCAACCAGGTTATTGGAGGCGATGGTGAGTAACTAATTTAACTATTTTATGGATTTATTTAATTAACTTATTCTATTATGCCAACAGTTTTCACTGCCTTGAACAAGGCCTGGTGTGTGCACCACTTTGCGTGCTCCGTGTGTGACACGAAGATGACACAAAAGTCAAAATTCTACGAGTACGACGAGAAGCCGGTGTGCAAAAAGTGCTATGATCAGTTTCCGAACGAACTGAGACGACGTCTGCGCACCGCCCACGAGATGACAATGAAAAAGAACACCTAATGCCTTAGACAGAGTCTTAGATCCACACCAAACAGTGCCTTTGTCGTTGTAAACCTGCTTTCACTACCATTTTTAACATTTTAGAAACTAAAACCTTTTGTGCATGTCTTTTCAATCTGTTGTAATCCTGTTGTCTGTATTTTCAATTGTAAATCGTGAATCAACGGCATCACTATATAGGGAACATAACATTGTGTATTAACAGCCTTTAACGTTGTTATATTTTATTGAATTTTATTTATATATAAATGTTTTAAAATCATCAAACCTAATGCTTATTCGGATTCGCATCCTAGTTTGCCAGATTTAGTTGTGGTGTAAAGAAAAATGCATCAAAAGCATTTTAAACTTACAAGCTCATCAGTTTCTCAATCAGACTTCGCGACTTAATTATGGCTATATGATTAAGATAGTTGACACTATCAATATGAACTAGCTGGTTAACCTCCAAGGCCTCAGATAGATAGGAAATCTGTGCCGCATTCAGTTTGTGCGGAAAATCTGTAAAGTTATTGTTTCAATACTATACTCAAATTAAATTTTGTGATATCCAAACCATCAATCACGCAAAGGTTTGTCGGACAGGGGGTGTTGAAGTCTGACGGATAACGGCAAATATCCATCTGAGTTATGTCCTCTACATTCGTGTAATCCAGGTTCATCACCCGGTACTTCGTCTGCTGCTGTGGAGCAACTATAATATGTTCCACTCTGCCGCGATACCAGGAACCCTCAAATCGGGCAAGCACATATTCCCTGAGACTGTCACATATTATCATGAAATATTAACTTAAATTGGGACAAAATATTTTGTATTAATATGCTTACACTGGCTTATAAGGCTGGTAATCCGTAATTTCTGATAAACGAGACTGCAAGGTGGAAAATTCGGAGGCGTAGGCTCTGTCAAAAGCTCCAAAAATTCCACGATTTTTTTTTGAACTTTCCACAACGAAGACATCAATCCCTTCCTTAGTTTCGATGGAAAATTTACGCAGCTCAAAATGCTCATAAATAAAGGACATGTATTTTTGGATTTTAATGAGAATTAATATTATATACTCACAGGTTTTAGCACAGGTTCGTTTTTCTGGGTTACAATTTTATTTTCTTTGGCATGGATAGGCATTTCCGATTTATCCAACAGTGCAAGGCAATGTGTTAAATCTTTTACGTCTTGATCCTCAGGTTTTAATGAAGTGACCGGAGTAGTTTTAGTCTGCCTATCAGCGGGAAATGAGGTTTTATTCTCATCTATAAAGCCCAGTTTATCGTTAGAGGCTCCTTTAGCATCCAGTCCTTTAGTTTTATTAACTGTATTGGCAATTTCAAATAAGGTGTTGACCTCCTTATTTTTCTCGCACTCATTCTGGTCTTCTGGTTTCTTTAATATTTTCTGACCCATCGTTTCAGCCGATTGCGGCTCAGCCTGAGAGCTCTTGACTGCAGGAATTGTAATGGGTTCACCAACTTGTGAGGGCTGCGGACCATCTAAGGAATATGTCGTCCCATTCTGAGCAGCAGAATTTGGGTTTCCTAAGAACTTCTTACTGTCGAAAAATGCATTCAGCTTTTCATTCACCGAAAATTTCATCTCTGTGTCCACTAGTTCCACGAAGTAACATCCAGGGCTCTTTTTATATGCTATCGTATATTTCTTTCCCACGAATTGCGAGCAGAAGGCAATGACATCATCGGAAAAGTCATATTTCAATACATTCTTGAGCTGCACCAGTCGAAAGAAAGAGGGCAGAGATAATAGCTCTACACTGATATCCTTCAAATCGGAGTTGAGAGGCTTTACGATTCCAAGATCAACCAAAAATAACCTTGTTTGGTTACCGATTTTCCACATCTTAGCACGCCAATACATGTCATTATGACGGGCTAGGCAGAATCCAACTAATGGTGGATTATTTATTCTGGGCAATGTCGTAGCCATGGTATTAACCTGTGAAGATACAACAGTTTTTAATTCGAAATAGTTTCTCCAATTAGCGTTTTGATATTTCAAAATTAGATGTTTCATTAAAATGAGAAAAAACTTTGATCTAGTACTAAAATATCCAAATAGTATATGGATTTCAAGCAATACTTTTTTTTGATATTCATTTTTAGAACTTGCCATTAGGCATGTATTTTACTTCGATTCCATGAAGTTCCGAAAACCTAATATGTATACAAACCTTATTGCAAACTTGGGCAAATGCTTTGTCAGCAGATTCGCTGGCATCGCGAATATAGCAGCGATTACTGGATGAGAATTGCATGATGTATACCACACCACCGCTTTGCGGCATATTCGCATTCGGGGGAGAATTGAAATTGTGTTCTTTTGTGGTGTTCCTGTTATTCGAGGAGATGCTATTGGATGAATTAATCCTCCGAATGGGAACATCATTTTTGGCTGTAATAATGTCTGAACGCCTGAAGGTGGATGGCGACCCCTCAACTGCGGTTTTATCAGCATTAATCGAACAGGCCCCCCCTAAAGTTGATTCCCCGTCGCTCTGGAACACGTTATTTGCATTGGGATAAACCAACGCAGGCAGCGGGATGCAGATGTAACGATGACGTAGCCAATCTTGCCGCTGGCAGTCCTTGGAGCAGTAGAAGTCTCCGCATCGCTGACAGATCCTTTCCGCTGCGACTGCGCAATGTACGCATTTTCCTTTGGCTTGTGCAAGCTGAATTGTTAGTGAACATCACAATTGTTAGTGTTTTGCTTCTTTTTTAAAAGGTTATTCTTACTTGGCCACCGGCGACTGCTAGCATGATTTCTTTCACTTTATTTCACTTTATTTCCGGTCGAAAAGGATGAGCTTTTCAACGTCCAGAAAGGTCCATAAAGAAAATGAAGCCCCACAATGTTACCAGATACTGAAGGTCTGATTACGGCATTGTAAAATGTATTAAAAAATACAGTTTTCCCACTAGTCTAAGTCAATGTTACATCGTAGCATTTGAAATTGGTAAAGGTAAAATTACTTGTATTTCTTGCTGTTTATTTAATTATAATTTTGTTGCTTAATTACTATCATATGCTTTGAAAAATAGTTTGCTCTGAGTATAGAGACTTACTTTAAAGTGTAGTTCAGTGTAATCAGCTGTTGGGTTGCCTATCGGTGCAAGTCTTATCGATAATTGTGGTAGTTCCATTTGATTTGGCAGTTCAATTTTTAAATATAGTCCTATTTATTATGGAAATGTCGCTACCATCTGGTGAATTGCGTTGCCGAGTTTGTCTTAAACAGGATGAACTCCTGGTGGACATCTGTGAGACCGTGGAGGAGATGCAAGTGGACCTGTGCACATTGCTGGAAACGTGTGGCGGCATAAAGGTGAGTCTTGTAGTCGTGTCTTAAATTATAAATTTCAATGATATATTTTTAATTCTTATTAGGTAGACCGCAGCGATGTGGAGCCAATGTATTTGTGCCAGGAGTGCACTAACGAGCTTCTCATCGCCGCCAAGTTTCGCAAAAAGTGCACGGAGGCTGAGAAGTTGCGCGATGGGGCTCGTGAGATAGAATTGGGCACTGCAGAACCCCTAACTTCGGAGGAAGTAATCATTATTGATCCAAGCGACTATATTGTACAGACCTCCGCCGTGGAGGATTCCGAAAAGAAACCTATTGGAGTTTCACGCTGGAACTGTCAGCATTGTGGCGCTGTTTTCCAGCAATCGGAAGTACTGCGTCGGCACATCGGAAAAGTCCATGCTTCAGTAACTATTATTGACTGTGAGGACTGCAGAAGATTCTTTACCAAAATTGGTAGCTACCAGGGTCACAGTTGCTCCCATTCCAAGTCCCCCAAAGGTGAGCACAAGTGTTTGGAATGCGGTAAGTGCCTTCAATCCGCCTCTAGTCTGGCAAGCCACATGCGTCTGCACACCGAGGAAAGGCCTTTTACTTGCGACCAGTGCCCCAAAACCTTCAGGACAAATGGAGCAGTGGAAGCTCATCAGAGGCGCCACAAGCAGATGATGCAGCACAAGTGCCCGCACTGCGGACGCGGGTTTGTGGAATCTAGCAACCTGCGACGTCATATAGTTGCCAGGCACACGGATGAACGTCCGCATCTGTGCAACTTCTGTCAGCGCAGTTTCTCCAGGGTCTACATGCTGGAGCTGCATCTCCGTACACACACTGGTGAAAGACCATACGCTTGCAAGCATTGTGACAAACGTTTTGCCCAGCTGGGTGTACTCCGGAGTCACGAGCGGATCCATACCGGCGAACGACTGCATCGCTGCCAAGTGTGCGAAAAGACTTTTACACGGGCGGGACAGCTCCGAAAGCACGAGATGCGGCACGAAACCGGACAGTGATAAGGCACCAATTTGGTCCAATGCCCTTTGATCACCGCCGAGGTAACAGATATCAGCGGCCCTATCAGTAACTACGGCAGATTATTTCTGTGCCAAGGTGATACATTCTGAAGTTTGTGGAAGGAACGAATCCTAGGTACGAGGTACATCGATTTATAACGCTCATCTTACTTGGAATAAGGATCTGTACACTGCCCGTTACATTTGGTCTCTGTGGCTGGAGGCCTTTCATTGGTTAATGGAGTGTTTGTATGTTTTGTATTCGTTTTGTATTTGTACTAAATAACATTCCGAAATTCCTTCTCCAGCATTGTCTTCCTGTTTAAATGGCACCTCGCCAACCAGCAACACAGAAGCCAAATAATTCGACGGCCTGCTATTCGATATCTGAGCCTGCTGTGAAACCCATGATCCCATAATCCCTCCTGGGATTGTTTTTCCAAATCATATCTTAATGAAGGACTAAAGGTCATATAACGCTCAGAATTTTTGTGCAATTGAATTTCTTTCGACTAGAAATTAAAACGAATTTAAAATGTTCTCAAAACGACCCAAAATATAAACTTTTCAATCGGTTTTCCTTTTTCAAATTTTTTATTGCATGCAGGTAAGAGTTAGTAATGTTTCTTTTTGTAATTGGTTTACATTTGCTTTGACTTGCAATTATCCTAAAAGTTACAACAAGTTACGCCGTTATATGCTATATATATCCGTATAATGTAGAATGTATATCGGGCTTGTATGGAATATTCTTTAGATGAATTTAAATTATAATTGAAGAGACAAACTTGTACTCGTAAATAACTAGGCTGAGAGCACGAATTGTCGTTTGATTTTTATTTCCATATCTAACCCGCTCTCGGGGCATCTGCGATCCTATTTGTACAATAATGTTGATGTATGTATATTTATACTCGTATATGGTTGTATTTATAAATATGGTTAGTCATCTTTTTGATTTGATTTTCATGCAGTTTCGAGTAATTGGCTTAATTTAACTATGGGTAAATTACGAAATTAGTTTAGTTCTTCGGGTGCTATTCCTCGTATGGCTCAATTCTCTTTGGGCTTGCTTCGGGTCGTATCTTTGTCTTCCATTATGGCGGCGGGATAGCTGCACTTGTTCCACATCTACATCGGGTTCGGGTTCGGGTTCGGGTTCGGTAAGAGGGTCTTGATCAGAATCGAAGATAGGGGTCGGGTCGTTTACTTTTTGGTTTTGGGGTCACTTATTCTACAAAAGCGTCGCCTCTGGGTAAACGGAAATGCGAAAAAATCGATTTAATATCTAGGTGGGGCCAAATAACTGGTCAACAGGTGAGAAACAGGTGCATAACTGGGTGCCCATTGTACCTGTCTACAACGCTGATCCCTGTTCTATCCTTCGCTGATACTTACGCGCCTGGACGCTCAGATCGTCAAGGAGCAGTTCGCTGGAGGACTTGGATCGCTTGGGGAAGATCAGGGCTTTGCGAAGGGGTGTCACATGGGCAATGGCCACCTGGGAGCGGGATTGTGGCTTGGGCGGTGGCCTGGGCGCTCGTTTCTGCTTGTGAGAGGGCTTTCTCAGCTGCTGGACAAAGGACTTACTAACGGTGGAGCCTCTATTGAAGTCCTCTGTCTTGTTGAGCGCCCCATCGGCAGCATACTTCTGTAGCGTCCTGTTGTCCTGTGACTTCAAACGCTCGAAGAGATTGGTGAGTGTACGGGAGCGAGGTGGCGACGGAGCTGTATACTTGTTAAGGTTCAATTGGGGCGTGCTGTGTTTGGGCGTTCGTCCAGCCCCCATTCCCGCACTGGCGGTGGGCGTGGTCGAGGCCGTTTGCACTCGGCTGGCAAACACCTCGTCATCAAGTTCGCTCAGGCTGACCAGCATATGCTCGTCCTCGAAGAGATCATCGGTATTGGTCTGCGTCTGTGTGCCCTTGTCATCCTCGTTCTCGTCATCGTAGCAGGAGAATATCTCATCAAAGGCCGCATTCACAATGAATGACTCGTCCTGCAACTCTTCATTATCCTCGAGGCTGCCATGTCTTCGCAGGGTGCCGAACAAGTTCTTGCGATAGTCCTCAAAGGTGGACTGCTGCAGTTGCTCCCGCGAGCGATCCACTCGCTGGGATGGCTGCCAAAAGCTGGAGGCCAGTGTTTGGGTGCTGCAGCTGTTGGTCAAAACCCCCTCGTGCATGGTTGGCTGCTTTTGTGGCTGCGACTGTGTTCGTGAGCGTGCGTTTTGCTGATGTTGCAGGTGTGGCTCGTGTTGCTGCTGCAGTTGTTGCTGCTGCAAACGCTGGCGGTGCAATTGCTGCACCAGCCGCTGGCGCATCTCCTGCGAGCGGCGCTTCAGCTGGCTGTACTTGCTTTGGGTGGTGGTGCCGCCATTGGCCTCATACTTACTCAGCTCCCGCTCCGGATGGCGATCCTCCTCCTCTGCCAGGCGACGTTGCAGGGCCAGCGTTTCGAACGTGTGCACCACACTGCCCACATGAGTGTTGATCTCGGGTATGCCCAGATCTCCGCTAAATAGATCCGCGTTCCGTCTGCTCAGCGTCTTGGTGGCATGCCCATGCCCGGGGGCGTGGCAGTGGCGCAGGGGCGGCACTGGGCAGCTGGAATCGGAGGGATAATGCTCGAGGAACTCACAGGAATCCTGCTGCCAGAGCAGGTTGCCCAGTTCGTCGTGACCGCTGCTTCTGGCCTGGGAACTCGACTGGAGGTGTTGGAAGCAGTGTGGTTTTGTGGTGTGTCGATGTTGTTGTTGTTGTTGTTGTTGATGATGTTGTGTGGTTTGAGTTGTTGGCAGATATTTCAAGCAATTCGTTAATGAAACAAATAAACAAAATCTGATTAGCCGAGTTGGGGGCAAAACACGGTCTGCTTTTGGGTGCTTAGTTGGTGGCTGGTGAGCTTTTTTTCGGGTTTTTCGGTTTTTTTTAATTTTTGGTTTTAAGGGGTCAGGGGTCAGGAAGTGGTGGGCCTGGCTTAAGTCTACAATAAATGTAACTAGTTTCATACGCTTAAACATTCTATATACACAATTAACAATAAGCTGCATATGCCATCTCAATGGTCTTTCAATTGCCTTCTGACATTCGCTACGAACTAAGTTAGTTTATAGAGACTATTATTCGAAAACAACAAGATGCCCAAACAGTTGGCACTCAAAACACTTATCTCCTTCCAAGCCTTTTCTATATGCGGCAGCTGTAAAAATGCCAGGAATTCTCTTCCGGCAGCCGCAAAGTCAAGTCTGCATTGCAATCAGGAATGCATCTGGTTGTTCAAAATTCTGTATTGCGAATTCGCGCAATCAAGTGAATACTTTCAACCATTTGGCAAACACACATGTATGCGTGAGTCTGTGGGTGTGTGCGTTCATTAAATGCAGGTATTTAGTGGGTGTCCCGAAATGCTATGAATTCCAACATTTTCGCATGTTGCTGCTACTTTTCAGATTCATGATTACTAGATAAATATACACAAGTATATCTTATTTAAGTTCTATTCATTAAAAATAAAACATTCAATTAAATCAATGTAATCAAAAACCTGTCCAATTAAATGAATGCATAGGAATGTTAGGGCTATATATTGGTTGGTATTTTTCATTTAACTAAGCCCTCTTACCAATTAATTGCAATAACTGAATATACATATATAAATATGAATCACTCATTACGCAATATTTTCTGCTTAGTAATTAAATCACCAATTGAAGAAGGGGAAACATACATATTTTCAGAAATCAACTTCATTTAAATGCCAAAATCTTAGAGAATATTGTAAATATCTAAGGTACGTTTTTTCATATTATTTTAACATCTTGTGAGCGCATCTACTGACAAGATTTAACTCCAACCAATCAGTGAAGAAAATATGAGTGACGTAAGGGATTCGACTGCTGCTTTTGGGACACCCTTAACCCTCCGTTTTAGTTTGTGTGTGCGTGTGTGTGTGTGTGTGCCTGGTGTGTGCTGGTGTCTAATAGTAGTTATTATCGAATGGTAGGCTATCACTGGAGCTGGAGTAGTGCTGCTGCTGCTGCGGTGGCAGCGGCAACACCTGGTTGCTGCAACCGTTGCGCTTGGCTGACTTGCTGTTGCCGCTGCACTTTGGCGGCTGCAGCTGCTGTTGCTGCTGCTGCTGCTTGTGCAGGACCTTGAAGTCGTCCTGCGACTTGCTGCTGCTGCCCTTCGAGCCGTGCTTGCCGTTCTTGTGCCCCTTGCCGTGCTTGGTGTGCTTCAGGCTGTGGTGTTGCTGCTGCTGCAGCTGATGCTGCTGATGCTGATGCTGCTGCTGCTGATGCTGCTGATGCTGCTGCTGCACGTGCGGATGGCTGTAGCGATCGCTGCCGTGCTGCGGATGGTAGTGGTGCTCGATGTGGGCTATGTTGCTGCTGCTGTGATAGTGCTGATGCTGCTGGTGCGGCAGATGCTGCTGGTTGTGGTTGCTGTTGTCGCTGGCGGTGCCGCTGCTGCCGTAGCTGTAGATCTGCGACTTGGACTGGCTGCGCAACGGCTGCTGCTGCATGGTGGCCACGCTGTAGTGGTCCAGGCTGTCGAAGGTCTGCAGATAGTGCGGATTGATCTGGGAGCAGTAGTCGCCGCCACTGTTGTTGGCCTGCTTGCGGTCCAAGGTGTTTCGTGTGTTGCTGCCGGGATGCTGCTGGTAGCTCAGGTGTTGGTAGTGCGACTCCTGCTGCTGCTGTTGCTGTTGCTGTTGCTTGGCGCCGTTTTTCATGGGCAGCGGTGGCGGCTGGGGGGACTTTCTGTGACCGCTCGACTTGAAGCTGTTGTTGCCGCTGTGCAAGGTCAGGCTGTTGTTGCTGTTGCTGTTGTTGCTGTTGCTGTGGTTGCTGCTGCTGCAGTCGGACTTCGTCTTGATGGCCACAAACGTGTTGGGCAGCGGCGGCAGCAGGGGCGGCGTACCGGTGGGCGTGGCTATCGTGGTCGAGGGCGAGCTCGCCCCGCCCACTTCCCGTTCCCGCTCGCGCTACGCGATGTGATGACCGCCAAATGTTCGAAGTACCGGAACGCTCTGATTTTGTTGTGTTTTTTTTTCGGGGGGTTGTTGTTGGTTGTTGGTGGTGGTGTTGTGGTTGTTGTCGAGTGGGTGGTGTTTTGGTGGGTAGTTCACATTACAATTGTGGTGTGCGTGTGTTGGTTAAATGCGCATTTTGGTTGGTTGGTTGGTTGGTTGGTTGTTTGTTATCGGAAAATGAAATGTCAGAGCGTAAAAAGAGACGAAAAAGGAAAAGAGTAGACACTTATCATATAAGTTGTGTATGATATAAGTATTTAAATATTTTTGCTTAAGAAGAGTATACGTAGGTGTCGTGGTGTGAGTGTTAGTGTTCGGTATTCTTTGGGGGAATCGGGAAGTGCGTCCGTACACAATTGTCTTTACCGTGTTTATTGGTCACTAACCGATGGACGGTTCAGTTGGTAATTCATATATACATATAGCTAAGCTCGAC